GTGTCCTATCCTATCCGTTCGGCTAACGACCCTCCACCAGTCAAGGAAGCGGTGGGTGGGAATGGACACCCATTAAACTGTCATTTTATAGGTAGTAACCTTATACCCCCTTATAGACTGGCTTCGTGAATGAGGCCTACTAATAGTAAGATTGACATGTCTTATAATATTATAACAGTATAAGGGTGTATTTTAAACTTTTAAAATACTAAGTGGTTTAATCTATTAATTAAACTATACTCTTAATTTAATTAAACTTAAACCATGTCATTATGGAATTACTAATTCTCTTTTAATTAAATACATTAATTAATTTAATAAATTCCATAAGGTGTAATTTGAACTATTCAAATACTTGATGGTTCTAAATATAAAAATTCTAAATTAAAACTATTTAATTAATTTTTTAAGTTATGAGCCTAATAGTTACACCTTTTTAATTACAAGAGCTTCTCAATTTGAGACTTTTCAAATACCAAAACTTGAGGGCAAGTTTTGGAACTCTTAAAAAACCTTTGATTTCCATAACTTATAAGTTTAATGTGGTTTTTATGGAAAAACTTTTCATGTTCCATAACTTGATGACAAGTTATGGAAGACATTAAAAACATTTTAAGATCAAATATTTCAATTAACAAAGTAATAAAATAATTTATCTTTCACCAAGTGAAACTCATAAGCCAAGATACTTCATATCAACAATTTGCAAGAAATTAGCCTAATCATATAAACTAATATAAATCTTGAAAATTTTGACAATTATCTTTTAATTGGATGAGGATGATCACTACCATATCAATAAAATCTAATTTTATGAACTAAACATTTTGTGGTAATGATTCTAATCCAAAACAGGCCAAAAATCGCGAAAATTTGCCATTAGAAGCATCAACTCATCGAGTGCATGAACATGACTCGCCGAGTTGAGTCTATACTAAGTGGAATCGTAAAGTCAGTTCATGGAATCGGTGAGTTCATCATTCAGATTTCTTGAAAATCAATTTTTCATCTTTGAAAATTAAGCCATGCATCAAATATAATAGAAAAATAAAATCCATGGCTCTGATACCACTGTTGGGTTTTAGTATACTACAACATCCTATGGTGCACAAACAATCTTAAATGCTTTGGATCTATGTTTTCTCTAATTATACATGCAATATTGTTTCCAAAGCATTAAGCCTACAACTAGCATACAATTAACATAAACAACATAAAATACTAGTTAGGAGTTTACTTCTTTATGTAGCTTGTAGAACTTATGGTATTTGGCCTTTAAGAACTTAGCACCCTAAGTGTGATGCCTCAAACAGTTCACAACGCACCCTTGAGCAATACGATTTGAGAGAGGTTTCTAGGCGCACAAAGATTTATAGAGTAAGACATATGATTTTAGATGAAGCCGATAAGTCTAAGCTATCAATACATCTTGGTACTAGTAAAATGTACGATGATTGAGGGAATTGGTAAGCAAACATATCGTTTGGAATACTAAAGGTATCCCCATGGAAATGCATTTTTCGATTTGGGAAGAAAAGGAAAATTGAGTCCTAGATTTGTTTGTCCTTTCAAAATCATTGAGGGAATTGGTAAGCAAACATACCATTTGGAATTACCTAAAAATTCGGCAGGTATTCATGATGTATTTAATGTGAGTTATCTGCTAAAATGTTTGAGCATATATGATGAAATGGTTCTGTTAGTTGAGGTGGAACTATATAATAAATTAAGATATATAGAGGATCCCGAAGAGAATATAAATGAGAGAATGGTTGATCTAGGTAATAAAGAAGTGGAGTTGGTGCTAATTAAGAGGAAACATCATCGAGACCCAAATTACATTTGGGAAAATAAAAATGAGATAAGAGCGAAATATCCTCATTTGTTAAAATCGTTGTGATTTCGGGGACGATATCCTCAAAAGGAGGATGTATTTGTAACATACATGTTAATAACCTTGTTCAGTTATCGTGTTTTGTATGTTTATTAGTTTAAAATCGAATATTATTAAATAATATATTGTTTTGAGCATTGAGTTCTAAGAAGATAGTTTTATGAGATTTGAAGTAAAACTATGCTTAGAATCATTCGGAAAGTATTAGAAATGATGGGAAGTCTTATGTGATTCTTATCAAAAAGTCAACTATCAAAATTAACAAAAATATAACATTTAAGTTGGAAATAAGTAAAAATGATATTATTGAAAGTTGTAAATTATATTGTTAGAAACATATAGGTGAAAACCTCATCGAACATAGAGTTCCAAGTGAAAACTTATGACCTATCAAAGTTTTGCGACACAACCAGCACAACGCTATACGACCTAAAAAGTGAGTTTACAATAAAATACTTTTTAGCCTATGTGATCTAATGAAATTTGTAGTATACGTTAAACCTAGAGCTTGCATAGAAGAACGTCCAAATCTGAGTTCGTATGAGGAAGTTATGCTTTTTCTATATATTCGGCATTGTAGTGTACAACCCGAAATTTGATTATGGATCGAGCCATTTTTAGCCAACACAGCCTAAATGAGAATCAAAGGTCTCGACAATAATAATTCAATGGTAAAAAGACAGACAAAAACAGATGTCGAATGAAGAAGTTATGAATTTTTAATGAACTTTTCCTGTCCCGTCCTATTAAAAATATAAGTTTAAATATAAAGTAAAAATTAGCTGACAGAGTCTAAATGAAAGTTGTAGAACATGGTCTCACCTATGCGTGGATATAAAGAATATCAAAAGTGGAGCTCGTATGAAAAGGATATGAATTTTTGAAGTTCGGAGCACAAAATTCGAGTTTTAACAAAGCTCACGATGTGAGCAAGTATAACTCACTGCATGGCGTAGTCCATCGACACCTCTCAAGCGTAGAACACACGCGGAAAGCCTACGAAGTTGATCAGGATAAACTCTTTACGTGAGCTTATATGGATCACGACGTGAGAGTCTAATTTTCGACCTATAAATAGAGGACCAACCCTCTTGTTCCCGTTTACAGAAAAACACAACCCTCTATCATGTATTGCTGATTTTGAGCCATTTTCCCGAGTTGACGATCGTTAACTGCTGACAGTTTCTAGTTAAATTCTACCAGCAAAACACATTTAAGGGGAAATTTCATCGCAATGTTTGGTTATTTCACAGTGAGTTCAATATAGGGACAATTGTAGAGCATGACTCGTATCAATTTGGGTGTTGGCTTTGTGCCTGTGGCCATGTAGAGTATAACTCATATCACTTTGGTATTAGCATTCGGGCTAGGTAGGGCTAAAAGCCTGTACATTCTAGCAATATGATAAGCATAAATTGTATTTTCGGTGAAACTTGCGTTGGAGTTTTTATGATGAATATCATGTTTATGATTCTAAATTGTTGTATCTCATTGATTGTAAATCCTTGAATCTAATTATTGGTTGTTATGGAAAGCTTGTCGTATGATACACATATGTCTTTGTTGTCATTTGTTTCTTTTGTTCATGTCGTATTGTTATACACATGACATAGCGTTATATTGTATCTATTGTTGAACTCACTAAGCATCACCCACTTGTCCCTCTCAGTGTTTAACTATTTCAGGTGATAAGCATCCAAAGTAAACATGTTTTCTTGGAAGACTTAGTATGGTTACCAATACTATGTTTTTAATTATCATACATATATATATATATATATATATATATATATATATATATATATATATATATGTATATCAATATGTGTTACAAAATTCCTTGGTAATTATGTATTTTATGAAACTCTATAAAAAAATTTTAAGTCGGTTTATATCCAAGCTTTTGTATTAGACCACTAATATAAATTATAATTATGAATATGCATGTAGTATGTTTTGACTGTTTGTTAATGTTAAATCTGAAAGGGGTCTCCCATTATATGTTTTATTTGTATGCTAGGTAGGGTCGATGACTGACAGATTTGTAAACCCAGTGGGGCCCGATGTCAGGCGAGGCCTATTATGTGTTTATTATGTATGGTATGTGATATTTTGGAAACTCACTAAGCTTTTTGCTTATAGTTTTCAGTTTATGTCTTAGGAACTTCTGGTTTCAAATGAAAGGGCCCGGGATGATTGCAAAGCACACACCATTCGTTTTCGCATTTTTTAATTTACTCTGATGATGATGATGATGTATTGATAAAATTCGATTACCTTGGTTTTGTGACAATGATATGGTTTACTGTTTTATTAATTTAAAAATGAAAATTTTTAGGTCTTATTTTTGGGACGTTTCAACTTTTATTTACGTAAAAGAAAAAATGAAAATGGAGAGAACATGATCACTACTAGAAAAAAGGCCTTTTACGATGCTCATTGCGCGTCGTAAAACGCTCAGACGACGCGCAAATGCGTGTCAAGAAAGGCCCTGTCATAAAGAGAGACGACGCGCATTTATGACGCGCATTTACGACGCGCGGTTATGACACGCAATGCGTATCAAGGAAGGCCCTGTCATAATGGAAGACGACACGCATTTGCGTGTCGTAACCTTACGACGCGCGTGTTTATGACACGCAATGCGTATCAAGGAAGCCCCTGTCAAGAAAGGCCATGTCATAAATGAAGATGACACACATTTTTGCGTATCATAATTTTAAATGTTCTAAAAAAATATTTATATATTTATTAATTTTTATATTACATTTGCATTTAATGTCTCATAATAGAAATAAAATATCATATACAAAAAATACAATCCATTGCATAAAATTTAATGTCATACAATTCTATTTTTTACAATATCTAAATTTGCATCTAATCTACTCTCTACATCAAATTCCAACTAAGTAAAGTTGCATCTTGCCTTTTATAATTCTTTAAGACTAATGCTCGAAACAGATGTTATATGGATAAGAAGTTGTACATTGGCCCATCTACTCTGTGTTTCATACTAACAATTGAAATGAAGAATGCAACACTTGCATTTGCAGCATCTTATCTCTTTCGGCTTGAGCTTTCTTTTTCTCTTCTAACTCTAAAGCTATTCGCTTTCATCAACCCTATAAACACAACACAAAATCACTTGTCATTTTCATTCTACTTTTAAAATTAATTCTTATCAGGACATTCTACTCTTAACCTACCAATCTACAAATTTTTCAAAGAATATAATCTATAATTTTTATGGAAAGTGTCAAGGGGGTTTCATTAAACTTCCAAAATTGTATCTATTCTCACCAAATCTGACCAAAATGGCAGGTGCATTGTAAAATGACCATTACGCCCTTCAATTTGATCAAGTGAAATTAAAATGAATATCAAGGCTATCTTTGTCATTTTTGACAGATTTCTGACAATGGTGCTGGAAAATGGTAAAAATAACCCTTATGCCTGTAGTTTGATTTCAAATTTTAAAAATCATCAAGTAAAGTTAATCTAAAATTCAGGGGTATGTTCGTCATTTTTGCCATTTTCGATGGATTTTAGACAAAATGCCATTGAAAAATGGTAAAATGACCATTACACACTTCACCTCGATTTCAAATTGGTAAAAACAACCAAGTAAAGTTAATCTAAATTTCAGGGGTATTTTCATCATTTTGACCATTTTGAACAGATTTCTGATCAAAATGTTGTGGAACTGATCAAAAGTTCAGGGGTATTTTTGTCATTTTCGCCGGATTTGGTGGAACTAACACGAAATGGAGAGTTGGATGACCCTTTTGACTGTTTTTATTAATAATTTGGTGTTGTATTTGGAACTTTGGCCAACATACACAGATGGTGGTATGCAACAACCGGCTTCAATGGGAGTTAATTTTGCCAATTCATATTGTTTAAGAGTCTGCAAAATTAACAAAAAAAAAAAATTATCATCACATTCTTGAAACAAATCCACAAAGTTAAACCAATCAAATACAAACCTTGAATCTTTTTGATAAGTTACCGCAATCATCAGTTTTCACAAGACAAGTTTGCAAGTGCTTCCAGTAATGTGTGTTATTCAACTAAAACCCAAAACCAAGAAACAAAAAAAAGAATGTTAATTTACAAGATTTTATGTTACAATCTAGATTCACAATCATTTCTTCCTGTTAATTTACAAGATTTTATGTTACAATCCATGTATGTGTGTTATTCAACTATACAGTGACTGAAGGTTATTTCCATGTATCATATGCAAAAAAAGCAAAGTAATAGATACCGTTTTAGGTTGTTGTCCTAGGCCTTCTTTGGAGAAAGCTTTTGTCTTTGTCTCCTTTTCACAAATCTTAAACCATTCCATTTCTCGCTCAATAAGCTTCGGGCCGTTCATCAGAGCCTGCTTATAAGAGTCACTAACCTACGTCAACACGTATCAGAAATAAGAACCAGATGTCAACAAGGAAGTATATGAAACAAGATATAGGCATCTAATTCTTAGCATAGAAGCTAAAACGAGATTAAATTTGAAGTAGAATAACCATTGTCAACAACAGGGAAAGTAACAGGAAGACACCAGATTGGGTGCACTTGTAGAATATACGTTTTCTGTCCCAGGAGCACATGTAAATTATGTTTAGATTGTTACCTTTATTAGGGATGTTATAGTTTATTTTCAATAATCAACATTTTTACTACAAAATTTTAGTTGTTGCTTCAAATATGATTAGTTTGAGGCTAAAACGTCACAAAATGATTAATTTCAATCAGTTTTGTTAACTACCAGAAAATTATTATTACAACGCTTCCAAACACTTTGTTAATGGTAGTTAAATTAACTTTGCATATGCCTTCAATCAACTAATTCGTAGAATAATATATAGGTTATTACTATTTTAAAATCTATTTAATAAGACTATTTATAAAAATTATGTTATATAAAATATTATAAATTATTTATAATATTTTCTTTTTGACCTTTTATTCGTTTATTTTTTTTAACATTTTGTTTGAATAATCTTTTTTTTTAATATTTTTAAAGTTTTGTTTATTATAATCTTGTTGATATTGTACAGATGCTAGAGGAGTATTATTTTGAGCAGTGTAAGCAAGATTAGAATCTATAGTGTAGTTTGGATATTGATGAACACAACCTGTTGAGGGTATGATTGATTTGGCTGTTGTTGCTGATAGCTACTACTAGAGTAGCCTGCATATCCTATGTTTCCATATCCATATGGGTCATTGTTCAGGTATGTAGAAGTTGCAGTTGCAGTTGGAGTTGCATAGTTATCATACTCTAAATTAGCTTCTCTAGAACTTGAAAAAGTGCCAGCAGATTGCACACTCAATCCATCTTGAAGGTTTCTTGATTGAGGTTCTGAACGGTGATCATGGCTGAAGTTTATGCAATACAAAACATTTATAAGAAATTAAAGAATAAAGGTTTATTATATAAAATAAATATGATATTCATATTATAAATTATACCTGTAATCAAAGAAATATTCTTCCAAGAACAAAAACTCCAACTGCAGTATAACTACATGACATACAAAGAGTAGTAATTGGATTGAAGATGCAATTAATATAAAAACAAGAAAAAAGAGAAAGGGGGTCTTAACATACACATTCCCAAAGCTGTTCTTTGCATAGGCTCCACCCTCATGGCCAACATACATAAAAAGAGATCCAAAGTGTTTGAGTGAAACCTAATAACACCATGGAAGTCAACCAGAAGATACCAATGAGCATTATCAGCCATACAAGTATGATAAAGGAACATCGGAGATTACAGGGACATCAATGAAATACAAGAAATACAAAGAGGTAATGTTTATAGACCCCCAAACATCATAACAACAATGAAATGAACAAGGGAATTTATTTACCTCTCTATCAGACTTCTCATTTTCAAATTTAGGATGAATGTTGCTATGATTTTGGTAGTGGAGTAAGTCGAGTTGTCTACATTAAAATTCTCCAACAAATCTTTGTTGAACAAACGGCTCAAAGCAGCAGTTTGAGCTGTAGTTTCCTGTCTGGTAGTTTCTTTTGCAGCATCACCAGAAACTGTCCCATAAGACTTTGGTTGGTAGACGCATTTTTTACCATGTAAAGAGTTGGCATTTATTACTGGAGAACATCCAACTGAAACATGGGACGACTGTCCATTACTTTGACCATGAGTAGCTGCTACTGCTACATCATTCACGGTGATACCCCCAAACTGTGGCACAAGAACAGAGGATCGTGCACTGTTTTCAGCAATAACAAGCCTATTAACTCCAATTGTGATAACCTCAATAGAAGCTGCAGACTTAACTTCTGCAGCATCAAACGTTTCATCTATTTTGCTACTGCTTGGCTTCTGAATCCACCTCTGGTCTGGTCGACCACCTCTTTTCTGGACAAAATCAAACTTAGCCAATTATTAGTAGCGATGAAGCCAAATTACATCACATTGTACAGACAATAGCCCAATCATCGAGTAAAAACAATATGAAACATACTTCTCATATATGATTAATCGATTAAAGCCCAATAAATTTTCTTATAAGCCCTTGCCCACCCTCGAATATAAAAAATAAAACCAATTAGTAACAAAAAGTTAAGTAAATAGAGGTGTTATTGATGAAATACCTGGTTACGCGGCATGAAATCCGAGATGTTAGAAGCGATGATAAAGCCAGGACGATGAACGAACTAGATAGAGAGAAAGCAAACGAAACTGAGACTCCTCAAAGAAGAACAGAGAGTGCGAGTAGAAGTTATTGCAGAGTGGGATACGAATACCGACATTGACGTAGAAATTGGAAGAGAGGGGTTTTTATCGGACTGTACAATCTTGATCTTTAAGTGTGAACGATGGGGGAACAGACCCTTTGTTTACCTGCAATTGCAAACACGGAGACACAAAGGTGTGAGATATTGAAGTAGACATATGATCGAGAAATCGATGAAATGTACCTTAGCAGAAACAATGGGAGAGGATCTCTATCCCAAAGTGAAGAAGGCGTGCGACCAAACCACCAGCATCGATTAATCCTAATTTTGAAAACAACAAACCATTAAATTAGAAAATTCCAACCCTAATACCCCCTAAAATTGATTTCTTAGATAGAACCTGCAATTATTTATAGTGAGAAGGAGATGAAAAGCAAGAACGATAGGATAGAATACGACGTGAGGAAGAAGAGGGTCATAGGGTCGTAAGAGTTAAGAATCATTGCCAATCGAACGATCGGTGGAGTAAAAGGGGATGAAATACTGGAAATTAGGTTTGGGGGAAACGCCAGAGGAAAACCTACCGTGAAGTCTTCTACCTCAGCGTAAGGTCACAGCTTGGCAGCCAAGCTTCACCACTCGTTGGTCGATTTGTAACGAGGAAGGTCTGACGTCGCCGGAGGAGAAGTGACCAAAGGCGAAGCAAGGTGAATCGTCCAATGTTTCAGAGCTAAGAGAGATGCCAGAGTGTTTTCGTTCTTGAAAAAAGCCCTAGCTAAAATGGTCACAACAATTTTGTGGAATTTAATATTTGGTGATGTTTTAGGATTTTGTTGTGCAAGAAAATAGGAGTGGTTATGATATTAGGGTTTTTTGGGTATTGATCAGTGAGGAGAGGGAAGAACGATAGAAATAATGTAGAGGGTGAACGAGATGTTTGATGATACTGAAGATGAAGATAAGGGACCTGGGGCTTTTTCATGCTAAGTAAAGAGGCGGGGGGATTAATTTTTGGGATTCAATAGGCGGGGGAAATTTTCGTCGATTTCATTTCCCGCCTAAAACGCGTGTTTCACTTAAAAATTATAAAGCGACACATTTACACGACGCACATTTTATGAAAGGCGCCCTCCGCATTTCTTTTTTTTTTCTTTTCTGACACTAATTTTAGGGCGCGCACAAATGCGTGCCCTCTATCCTTCAAATTTTGCAAAATTGACATTATCTTTTAGGGCACTTACAAATACGCGTCGTCTATCAGCGAGTGTCATTGTTTGCGCATCATTAAAGGCCAGTTTTCTTGTAGTGGATCTTGCAAGGTTATAGTGATGACGCTATCAGTTTCATTTGTAGTAGAAGTTGAACAATCCTCTCTAAGAAAGAAGCCTTAAAGTTTGATTTCGTTGCATACATTCTCACAAAATGTCATTTTCACAACGTCTTTTTTATAGAACGTCAATTATCAAGAGAATATCATTCATGCAATTGTAAATTGTGTTCATTATGTTGGATTTATACAGAGCAAAAAATCCTATGTATGCATGCAACCCTAATTTGAGGATCTATGTTTTTCACTATTAGACATACAAGCATTGAGCACAAAAAGTAGAAACCTACGAGGCACATGTAATTTTCGAAATTAACATATACTTAGGGTTAGGATACACACCTATTGTTATATTGTAATAAAAATCAAATCCTCGAAGATCTTGAACTTTGGTAGCAAGCGCCACAAGTGTCGCACCTCTAATGGCTCAGAAACAAAACTAGCAACCAAGGATTACTATGGAGTGAGTGAGAGAGAGAGAGAGAGAGAGAGAGAGAGAGGAAGTGAAAAATCGGCTCTAAGCCTTTCTTGGAGTGCATCGGATGAAATCCAACCCTATAAGGTTTATATAGGTGATAAGGAAGGTTTAGGATAAGGCAGGTGTATCTTAGATAACCCTAATCCCTTAACTTCCTCCCTAAGGATTCCAAGGCACCCTTAGAGCCGAAAGAAACCCTACGACACTTAATCTTGTAAGAATAACCATATTTACTAAACCTCTAGCAAATCATGATGAATATTCTTATCGTTCTTTGTAACAGACTTGACCTAGTTCACAACAATGTATACTAGATACTCTAGTCCTTCACTTGACTCACATACTTTTGTGAACGAGAAATTAGTCACAATTTCCCAATTACAAAGGTTCTCATTCATCACACAACACAAGTCGTGTGATTCCAAGTTTCTATCCAATTGAAACTTGGGTGATGAGAATCATTCCCTAATTGATATATTTTTGACACTGCCATAAATAACATAGCTAAGAATCGCATCGATTTTCATCATTGCTAACAATAGAAACATACAAACATCAATTTTCATAATTGTCATTGCAAGGATATATATAAATAAGACAAAAATCAAAATTTATTTTATTTATAAAAATACGGAAAAAACTTGTCCTTACAAATGAAAACTATGTTACTAGAATGTTCCTAAGCAATTTATCATAACTCTTAAATAGCAACTCAAAACTCTTATCATCAAACCATGCAATCGAAATCTATCTCTTCGCGATCAGACTCAACATACCTTTCCTTTAAGCTTCCTTCTTTTCTTCAATGCTAAAAAACATCAAAAATGTAATCTTATCACATAATATATTAAGAATCTACAAACAGGAACTTAATAGAGTTAGATAGTGGATTTACCTAAAACAGAGTCATATATCATGACTCTCCTATCTTTGCGATCCTTTAGGTAGATACGGAAGCTTCACATCCAATGCCACTTCTCTTGACAGTAGAAACAATTGGACTCTTTTGGAACAACACATGGGACAATCTCATATTCAGCCTTTCTTTTTACCCTCTAGTAAAATGGTTCAACCATGGCATATCCCCTTCCATTGGGAAGAGAACACTTTTCTGGACTTCCAATGTTACCATTTTCAATGTCCATGGAAGTTTAGGAGGTTGATGTACAAGTCAAAATTGCTTTACTAGTGCGCCAAATCATTGTTGATTCAGCAGAAACAAGCAAATAGGTAAGATCAATGAGGGACACGTCGTGGTCCATCATATTGTAATCTTTAATGAACTCACTATATGATTTACGAAGTGATTGAAGAACCAAGTCAACAACCAGCTTCCTAGAGACATTGACAGTCAGCATCCCCAACTTGTTAATATGCAACTTCATATCCAAGACGTGAGCACATATAGACTTTCCTTCTTCGTGTTTGCTTCCTAATAGGGCTTGAGTGACCTTGAACTTTTCAAGTCTTTGAACATGTGGGACAAGGAGAACTATTAGAGGAGGTGGACGAAGTGAAGCATGATTTCCAGTTCCAAGATCCAATCGTGAAACATTATCTTCATGTAGAAAGCTTTTTCTAAAGGATTAGGGAAGACGATAGTTGTTAGATTTTGACATCTACAAAATGGGAGAAATTCAAGTTAGTTGATTCAACCCTTAATATAACACCTAAATTAGCGGAAATATTTAGGGGTGGAGAATGTCATGTACAATATCATAACAATTATAATCGTAAAAAAGAAACAACATCACCCATTGCATTAATAGTATAATTCACTACAAGTGTGTTCTGAATGAAAATGTAAGACACCAAATATATATATATATATATATATATATATATATATATATATATATATATATATGTAAATAAAAAGACGAGTCTGAAAGTGCTCTATCTTCTTAAAACCTGACATCAATACATGTCTACTGGTGACCTGAGAATACAAGTTATTTTAAAAGTGAGGATCAACATTTAAGCTAGTGGGTTCATTAGTATTTAGTGTCAAATGTTGTATAAGTTTGAAGAAAGTGTTCGCATCCTTCTACCAAAACCGAATGTTCTGAATGTTGTTTGTTTGTAAAAGTGAGTGTTTTTCCCAAGTATGACTATCATTACCAAAATATAGTTTACATTACCATTTATGTGAGAAATCACAATGTGAATGCAATAGGAAAATAATGACGTACTGTAGTATTGTATATAATAACTATTGGTGTACTAATTACCTTAATCTAATTGTTAATTAAGGTATAATGTGATATGATTGTTACCATGCTTGATCAACTTAGTAAAACACAACATTCAAAGATGTCGAAATGGTATGACATTCGTCACCTGTAGACCTGTAGGTCCCACTGTAGCTAGCAGCAAGGTGTAGGACGGTCAGTCCATTATACATCTATACACAAAGTCACGCTCTCCCTCCAAGAGACTATGGTTACAAAACGTGACACAGTAGTAGATTGTCATGCCATGAAGTAGTGGCTCACATTAATTTTATAGTATTCTTATATATGTATAGTACGTTCTTTCTATCCTAGTGTATTGTATGTTCTCGTTGTATGGTATAAAGTATGTTCTCTTTGTATAGTCTATAGTATGTTCGTTCTTGTTTCTTGTTATAGTATGTTCTTTCTGTTTCTCATTATAGTATGTTGGAACTGACTCTTGTATGTTTCATTGTACTAGAAACAGTAAGTACTAGTATCCTCAACTATACCTATTATAGTTTACTGGTATTACTATTTGAATGACTGGGTATGTTTATACACCTTTGTTACCCAAAGGCATCGAACTAATGTAAGAACTTTTATATCTATACATGTATACATAATATATAACTAAGATTCAAATGACATTCGGACAAACAATCGATACCTTAAGTCCACAACCAAACAAGTAACATAAAATAAAGTGAGTTATTAGTCCTAAGTCCTTTGAACCTTATTTATATAACTATATCCCTATAGACATGATTTTGACAATATATAAGTTTAAAAGAGTTTGATAAAGTGTTTAGCATATAAAAGAGTTTGATAAAATGTTTTGAAATAGTTGTTTGATAACACACTTTGAATTATAAGAAATCCATTTGTTTGATAGTAATTAATTACGTGTGATTGTTATAATAACTATTATGTTTCAACTTGTATTCCCCCATAAAAGCATATAAAATAATTTAAAAGGTAAGTTAGAGGGATGAACTCACCTGTAGTGAGTGATTCGAATGTAAGATCGATATAGGATCCTAAGTGTCAAGTGAAGCCTCTAGCACAATAGGATCCTATTAAGCATATAATGACACATATATGGATACAATTAGTGTATATAACAACCAATCATGATAGAGAACCACCTTGGGGACTAAGAAACACTTGGATTGATGTGTTATAATCACATATGATTG